CCCGCCCCCAGGAAGCACCTGCGCGTCTCTTTAAAAGGCGTTTATTGATCATATACAAAATAAAGAAAACCTCATATATCACAAACATACACTATGTACAGCAATAAATACCGGGGCCGCCCGCGCCGCGCCTCCGGACAATAACTTAGCAATAAATACCGTGCCGGGCGCGGGTGGGCTCCCCGCGCGCCCCCGCGGGCTCCGGCCTCCGCAGGGCAGGCAGGGGCTGACCCCTCTGCTTGGACACAGCTCAGGAGCCGAAGGCCGGCGAGGCTGGCCCCTCGCGGGCTCGCCTGCTGCCCCCGGTGTCCGGGTCTGAACCCACTCGTTTGGTTAAAGGCTTCAGGGACTAGCAGAGGGCACGGAGGGAGGGCCGGAAGCCCCCCCGGGGTCACAGGGCAGGGGGCCTCACGGCGGAAGGGCACGCTCACCGCCTCGGCCTCGTGGACTGGCTCCAGGCGTGGGGTGGAGGCCCGGGCGGCCGGCACGAGCCGCGGGGACACACGCGGCCCCCGCGTGGCACTGATGACAGCCACCCCGCTCCGCAACTGTGCCACAGCCAGACAGCAACAGGAAGGTGAAAACATGCCAAAAACAATTACTGAATGGCTTCTAGGGAAAAAGCCGTTAACACGTTGGTTCCTCTCACCAGACCACAGCCTAAAAAAGCAACTGAAGAGTCCACCGCGGAAATGGCGCAGCGGGTGGCCCGGCCTCCCAGCTGCGGGATGCCAGGTGCCCGCTGCACAGGACGCGGCGGGGACGGCCTGCGGCGCCTGGCAGGCAGGCGGGCTGCAGCTTGCCGAGCTGTGCACCCGGCCGCTGACCGCCCCTGGAAACGTGTGTGACACTGCAGCCACAGGACTCCCACACCAGCAGCAGTGCCGCCCCAGAGCAACAGCGGGGACTCAAATGCTCCCCGTCACCACACTCGCAACAGCCAACCTGCCTGTGCCCACTGGGTGTTTCTCTGATAGCTGAGTGTCCACATTAGAGTAAGAATCGTGGGGTGAATAAAGTCAAGTTAAGAGGGAAGCTACACACTGTGGCTTACTTAGCGGACAAGTTTGGGAGACCTGACCTCAGGCAAAGCCCTCAATCCGCTGTGTCAGAGAAGTCACGAGAAGAAAGAACACAACATCCTCACAGCAGAAAAACATAATCAACGTGTATCAGAAAGACAGTCAACCATCACACATGGCCACAGGACCTACTGTCAAGAGATGGAGGTGAGGGGAAGGAGCGGAATGACCCTGCAGAGCTGGTGACAGGAAACTCCTCAGACCCCAAAACCACGGAAACAAGCTCTCATCAACTCCATGAGCTTCTGTGAGACTGCAGCTTCCGTTCAGCACAGTCCCACCCCAGCCTCGGCATCCTCCTATACATCCCAGCTCAGCACCTGCCCAACAATGCTCATGGACACGGCCCCTGCCCTGAAGGCCAGAGGGCCTGCCCACCCTCCCCCACCCTTTAGGGACATACGAGCCCGAGGTATGAGAGGAAAAGGTCACCAGGCCACTTAGGCGAGTCACTGATATCCAGCCACTGGTGCCTCAGGTACCAATAGGAGTCTGAGCACCACGAGCCAAAGGAACGCACCAAGACACCAGGGCTGCCAGATGCTCCCACAGCACTGAAAGCCGAGGCAAACCTGGCAAAAACCAGCTGAAAGCAGAGCAGGCCACAGCTTTTCCTCCCACCAGCAATTTCTGTGCTTTTCAGGGATCCAGGGCCCTCAGAGAAGGATACCAGCAACAATGCTAAGAGGCCAGTGGCCAGACAGGGCTGTAGCGCCTGGCGGGTGGCATGTGGGTACTGCCCCAGGAACATGTCCATGAAGAACTATCGGAGGCAGCCTAGAAGGCTGGTGGTTGGGCCCTACGGAGCAGCACCTCCAGGGGGAACAGAGGGTCTCTGGAAGACAGACCCCAAGGGGAGAGCCACTGGCACAGACCTGGAGTCAAAAGCCCTTGTCCGGCCCTGGTGGAGGCCCCCAGGCCCTCACAGTGAGGCAGGGAAGGAAGAATGGGTTGCCCCGAGAGGAGCCCCTGACCAGTCTGCCTGGGAAGCAACACTTCACAGCAAGGAGTCAGATCAGGGGGATGTGGAGAAGTGGGGTGGGACACGGAACCTGCAAGAGGGCCTGCCGAGTGTCCCGGCTGAGGCCCCACATGCAGCGTGTAGAACAAAGCCGAGGCCAGAAGGAAGACAGCCAGGGCCGGCTTGGCCACAGCCCTGTGGGCACCCACAGTGATGCCATGGTCCCTGCAAAAGCCACCACCCAAGGCCCGGATGGCGGATGTGGAGCAGCACAGGGACTCCCGACAGCCCCCCCCCCCCCCCCCCCCCCCCCCGCACATCACCTGCTCTGCCTTGGGATCAGCCCAGGCCCCAGACTCACAGGGAAGCCCAGGCTCAGGGAACGGGAACGGCAGAGGAGCACACAGAAGCTCAAAGAGGCTGGGCTGGCGGGCCAGACCCAAGTGCTCCCACCAAGTCGGTGCCACGGGGACCCTGGCTCAGCCCCGGCCAGCAAGCCAGCAGAAGCAAGATCACCACCGAGTCCAAAGAAAACACACACAGAAATACACACGAAGGGACAGCCACAGGTCAAAGGTCACCAGAAGCACCAGCACTTTACGGCTGCACAAAACCTCACCAGGCACGGACGACACACGGCACCGGCAAGAGACGGAAGCAGAAAGGGCCAGGAGTAAGTCACTTTTGGTACAATTGCAAAAGAGATATCAAAGAGGACAGCCTCTCGCGGCTTGGCTTTTTTTTTTCCTTTTTTTTTTTTAAACTAAGTTTTATAAATAATGTCTGATAACTCTGTGTATATAAAAACTAAACTCCAACAACAGCCACAAACAGTTGTCTGTAAGTTTACAAGAAAGGAACTTTTGTGTCTTTTTTTAAACTAGTAAAAGTTTCTCTTATACTTTCTTCCCTTTTTCATTTTTACAGTCAAACGTTCTTACTTGGTTTTTTTTAAAGACAGTTTTATAAATACTCTGCAGCTCTTTTTTTTTCTCTTTAGCTCTTAAACATATAATTTAATAACTTCATAAAAGGAATTTCTCTCTTAAATAAAGGGCTATATAACCACACAAATAGGTCATGTAAACAGTGACACGGAACCACCGCAGGACACTGACACGCCCTCCACGCTCGGTCACCACCAGCGATCTGGCCTTGTTCAGTGCACCACATCAGGCTCGAGCACCGTGGCTCTGGCCCAGCACCTGCAGGGCCCTGGCTGGTGGTCCACCCATCCAGGGCCCTCAAGAAACCCCGCTCCTCAGAGCAGAGCTCCCATCTTCCTGCTGGGCCAAGGTGGGCTGCCCACCTGGGTCTAAGGAGAGCTCTAGCCCTTGAGTTCTATTCCAAGCTGGCAGCCAGTAGCGCCTGTGGGCCACTCAGGAAGAGGCTGACCTGGGGCCCAGGGGCAGCTGCCCACTTGCTCTTGTCCATTCCCACAGTGCCCACTCTGGACTCCTAGCCACATGCCTTGGTACAAAGGGGTGAGGGGCAACCCAACATCACCATCGAACTGACCGATCCCAATGTACAGAACACACGATGACAAGGACGAGATCAAAGGGGCTCAGCCCGGCGCCCCTGGGGAGAAGGTTGTGCTTTGCAGGGAAGGGACGAGGGGAAAGAGGGAAAGGAAGAGAAGACCAGGAAAGGAGGAGAGGAAGAGGGGCAGGGCTGCCAACTTTGCCATGCACTTAGTGGCCCCTCGAAGACCCGCCTGGCAATTGCACGAGTCCCTATGACCGAGCATCCGTCTTGGACTTTACTATTGTGATGACGCTGGTGGCAGCCACCTTGCCGGGGACCAGGGGTCCCAAGCCAGCGGCAAGGGGACCCCGAGCAGGAGCCACAGGGCTGCGGGCCACAGTCCTGGCGAAGTTCTGCAGGGCCTCGTACTTGGAGCGCAAGGCATCGAGCTCCAGCTTCATGCTGGCATTCTCGGAGGCCAGCTTCTCCACCTCCTGCTGCAGCTCTGCCTTCTGCTTCTCCAGCTCCTCCTTCTGGGTTACCCGCTTCACCCGGCAACTGGCCGCATAGCCACGGTTCTTGAGTGTGCGCCGGCGCTGCTTCAGCTGGATGATCTCCTCCTTGGACAGGCCCCGCAGGTGCTGGTTCAACTCCCGCACTGACATGGTCACCAGCTCCTCGTCCGTCAGGCTGGTGCCATTCTCTCCCGGCTCCCGCTTCACCTGGGCAGCACAGAGCACAGCGTCAGGCCTGAGCGAGGGCACCCCCCCCCCGGCCTTCCTGTCCCACTCCACTCACCTTCAAGGCCTTGTTTCCTTTACTCGGGGTCGTCATAACCCGGGGCACGCGAGCAGGGACTCTGCAAGACAGAGCAGAGGTCAGAACTCCCAAGGCCAAGCCACACCCTGCCCTGCCCTGTTCCCAGGGAGCCTGCCAGCTACCCGCCACCCCTCACCTCCCAGACCAACGCCTGGCCAGAGGACAGCCCTTGGGCCTGTGAGGCGGGCAGCTCTGGATGAGCTCAGCCCCTAGAAAGCCAGGCAGGAGACCTGGCGGGGAAGAGGAGCTGAAGGATGAGCAGGAGCAGGGACCAGGCAGAGGGGAAGACCAGAAGGAAGCCAGGCTTTAAAAATAACCCCGGTGCTGCCCCAGAGCGCGCACCGTTCCTGGCGAGTCACGCTGACTCAGCACATTGCCTCCCTCCCCCCCACCCCCCCTCTCCCGGGCAGGCGGACACAGAGGGAGTGCTTCACTCCTGCTCCTGAGGGCAGCCAATGGCGCCCCAGGAGCCCAGCTACTAGGGCCAACAGCAAGGAGGGTCATTCCCTCGTCTCCTCAGCAGCTTCCCCTAAGCTCACCTGGGACAAAGCCCTGACTCCCCACCGGCTTAGGGTGCTGTTCCCCTGGGACTCAGGCAGAGGATGTGGTTCCCAAAAACGTCTAAGGTTGGCAAAGATCTTTCAACTATTTCTGGCTCCACAACCGGGGAGTCTCTCACCTTCCCGGTGGCGGGCCGTCCGGCCGGGCAGAGCTGCGCTGCGGATGGAGTAACCATCCTGTGGCTTTGGGTTACAGCATGCTGTGCCCCTGCCACACCCACCCGAGGTATTTCACAAGGGCCCCCACAACCAGCCATCCAAGGGACCTGCTCAGCTGGAGGCAGGCAGGAAGTCAGCCCCCCAAGTCACTGACCACTCTCTGGTTCTCTGCCTGGGCCCAGGGAACACAAGCAAAGAGCACCTCTAGCACTAAAACTCACCCTTTGCTTTCCAGATACAGTCCGATCAAGGACATTTTTGTACCATAGCCTGGGGAATCGCCCCGCACCCATCACTTCTGTGCGCCCCCACGGTCCACCCCACCCTCCCCATGTTAGGTGCAGGAGAAGAGGGGCTGGAGAACAGGGCAGACTGAAGTCTCTTCCTGAGGAGGCTGTGAGCACTGTAGGCAATTGTGGGGTGGGATAGGTTGGACAGTTTCCACTCATCTTACGGAAGCTAAAGTGTGGGCCAGGAAAGGCCCAGGTTCCATTTGGGTAGAGACTCCCTCACCACACCTAGTCCCACACTGGGAGATGAGGCAAAGGAAGCACCTGAGGCAAGGTCAAAGGGCAAGAGACCACCACCAGAGGACAACTAGTCTCTCTACAAGCTGCCCCACGCCCACACCAGCAGGGCCTGGAGGGGACGCCCCCAAACCTGACTGCAAAGCACAATGACAATGGGGACTTCCTGAGATCATACAGAAAAGTGCAGTGTGGCAGCTGGGAGCTGAAAAGTGCCTCCTCAACAGATTTCACCCTCTGCAGAAGGCCTGAACTCAGCACAAGTACAGCCAATCACCTCCTGATCAAAGGTGTGTGCGTGCATGTGTGCGTGCGTGGTGGGGAGGGTCAGGTCTCAGGAAAGCTGGTGCTTCTGGCTGTCCAACTCATCTCTGCCAAGTAGGGGACACACTAGCCAGGAAAACAGTTTTTGAGGACCGTTGAGAGATAGCTGAGGGCATCTTTCAGAGCCTGAGGAAGGACCAGCCCTCTGCCCATCTAGGGCCTCTTCCAGGTCCTGCTACCTGGTAAGACTTGGGTCCAGGCCTCCAGCATCTCCTACTTGCCCCCTCGGGCTGAGCCAGCCTCACGGGGGAGGCCTGGGTGGTCACACAGGTCCCAGTTCACCCAGGAACCCTAGACCACCCACTCAGGCTGACAGCTAGGAAAGGAAAGGTCTGGACAGCTCCCTCTCCTCCCACTAGGCAGACACATTCACTCCAGACATGAGGCAAGAGGGTAGCAGAGGATTAGCCCTTGCTGCTTCTACTTGTCCTGCTAACTCAAGTGGCTGAAACTCTCAGGGAGGGTGGCCTGGACACTCTGGCACCCCAAGATTCAGACCTACTACCTCTTCCAGAAAACTTCGGCTACTGACAGTTTGAATCCATAACTTAATTTCCACTGAAACATACATAAGTGACCCAAAGGGCTTAGACACTCCCTCCCTCCCTCCCGGCTCAGCAGGATACATTCTCTTACAGCAGAAAATCCCACCCCAAGGCAGATCACCTGGCACTTCCAAGCCTTAGCGTTCACCAGGCGGGCAAGGGCGCTGCAGGTTGGAAGGGTATCCCGGGGGCGGCACACAGGTCAGCCTAAGTTAGCCAAGAAACCGTGGGCAGAGGGCAGGGCAGGTGAGTGACCACCTGCAGGCTGCGAGGGGACGCCCAAGGAAGGTGGCTGAGGGGTACGGGCCCGGCCGTGCCCAGCTCCACGCACCCCCGAGGGCACACCCCGGGCACACCCCGGGCACACCCCGCGGGGCACGTTCTTTCGGCTAACGCGGGCCACACTGAGAACCCACACCTTGCGGGATGGCTGCGGGCCGCCTCCGGCCGCGTGCTGGCGCTTTGCGCTCTGCCATCGGAGGTGCGGTCCCGCCCGGCCTCCCGCCCCGGCCCGGCCCGGCCCTACCCTCCCGGCTGAGGCCCCGCTTCTGCCCGCAGCACTCGGCGAAGAGGCAGTAGAGGCGCGGGTAGGAGATGTAGCCCGTGAGCACGCCGGCCAGGGCCAGGCCCAGGCTGATGGGCTCCACCGCCCGCACCCCGAGCGGCGCCAGCAGCAGCAGGGCCAGCACGGCCCGGCCCAGCTTCATGCCCGGACCCGCGGCGCCCTGCGCGGTCTGGCGCCGACCGTGGACCCGCACTACCGGCTGACGCGCGCTTCCGGTTCCTCCCGTGTGGCCGCCCTCTTTGTTGAGGGCGGACCTCATCTCGACGCCGGCGGCGGCCATCTTTGTTAAGGGCAGAGCTGGTGCGCCTGGGGCTCCTTCTCCACCCCTTGAAACCTGGCCTCTGGGAACCCGTGGATGGCCTATTTTTTTGGCGCTTTGTTCTCTGTTTTGATTGGTTTGAAACGTCAGACTCTGGGCTAGGGGCGTGGCTCTAGCAGAGAAATGCCTGCCCAGCAAGCACAGGCCCTGGGTTCAAACCCCGGTCCTGGATGCACCGAAAAGGAGAGGAACACATACCAAAGGCAGCGCTTGTACTTTAGAACACTGTAAGGTTTAAAGAAAAATTGAGAAAATGACAGATTCTGGGGCACCACTCGTTTAATTTTCTCTAGTATGAAAGCGTTAGAATGTTATATTTGTTACAATTAGTGAAACAATGTTGCACCACCACGGGTCTACTCACATATACTTTCAGCTCATCAGTGTCTTCTTCTGGTAAGGACTGCATCTAGCCGACTTCATTATAGCGTCATGTCTCAGACTCCCTTGGTACTGGCGGTTGAACTCTGGACCTCCCACTTGCTTGGCTGGTGTTCTACTACTTTGAACCACGCTCCCACTCCTGCTTTTTGAAGTCTAGAGAACTCAGGGCCTCATGTTTATTATTTGCTTGCACCACTGGTACTACTACTTACACCATGCCTCCATGCCAGCTTTTTGCTGGTTATTTTGGAGATGGAGTCTCTTTTATCTGCCCAGGCTGGCTTTCTACCACCATCTTCAGATTTCAGCTTCCTGAGTAGCTAAGATTACAGCGTGAGCCACCAGCTCCTGGCTTCTCTCCACTGCTTGATGTTGTCTCCTGTATATCATGAAGATCTGGTAGATGCTTGTTCAAATACGCTGGAATCATTTGGAAGGTCCTGCTTTTTCATGTTGCATTCCAAACAACAGTGGTGACCATTGAGTGTAAGTCAAACTTGTTAGGCCACATGTTCTACCGCTTCAGCTTCCCCCCTAGCTCTTATCCCCTCTTCCAGGCCCCTGAGGTTCCAAAGGGAAAAAATTCTTGCCTTCCCAAACCTTGCGTTCTCATTCTCCACTTTATCAACTCAGAGGGAAAGGAATTGTCTAAGGACACCATTAGTGGGCAGAGAGCAGGGCTCACATCTGATTTCTGACCAAGCTTACTTACCTGCTCAACCAGACAGAAGACACTGGCTGCTCTTTCCTCAGCCCAACCCCAGAAATGCCACAGGGCAAATGGCAGCCCAGGTGGGAAGGCACTTGACAGCTAACAGGTCAGGGTGTCCCGGTCCTTAGATCTATTGCAGTAATTTTGTTTTACCAAGGTTACCAAGGACTTGGTAA